ACCCTCCCCCTCCCCGGGCCGTCCCCTCCCAGGGGCCAGAGCAGCTTTTGTACTGTCAGGTCTTGTCCCTTCCAAGCTTACAATCTTCCCAAGGCTCCCAGGGTCCAGCTCAGGGCCTCCCAACCCTTTCCACAATGGGAAGTGTCTGAGGCCGCCAGGGTTGAAGGTGAGAGGCTGCCCCAGGCCGACCAGACCCCCTCAAGGGCTGATGGGACCCATCCCTGCACACCTGTCTCCCAGCAGAGCCCGAGGGTCCCTGGGGCACCCGGTCAGAAACTCTGATCTATGGGGAAGAGAAGCCTAGGCTTCCTGGCTTGCTTTGCTCCTGTGAGGCGCCTGAGGGGACTGGCAGTCTAGACCACTTCTGAAAGAATCCTAGGCTGGAAGTTTTCCAGGCCACGGTAGGGGGTGGGAATTTGGGCTACAGTCAGACACACCCTTGGGCCAGCCTAGGGGCCATTCCTTACAGTTTGAAAAGGAGTCAGCTTTTACTCAGACCTCAGCCTCTGGAGGGGTCCCAGTTTTCTGGGGGTCTCCTAGTAGACTTCACCCTGGCAGGAGGGAGGGCTAAGATTTATCCTCTGGCCCTGAAGCCCCCAGACCTCAGAAAGCTGTACTCCCTAGTACAAGTTCCGCAAACATATCGCGGCCAAAGCTTATTTCCGGATTCTGCTCACCTCCCTGGATTCCAGGCTCTTAGTACTAACCCGAGTTTTTCACTTTCTGCCAGCTCATGGATGCACTCAGGACAATGTTTTCAATACTTCATCCAGCATTTTAAGTTGTTGGCAGTATGATTGGCAGGGTGCTGGCGCACTGTGTTTCTGGAAACAGCAGTCCAGGTTCCTCTTTTGTGTCCCAAGCTGTTCACCTTGTCTTCCCAACGCAATCCTGGAGCGCCTCCCCTCTGCCCTCTCCTGCGTGCACGCTCTGCTCCAGGCTCACTGAAAGATTTGCTAGGTTCTTTCCTTCCACTTTCATGGGATTTTGCATTTGACCTTCCCTCTGCTCATTTCAGTTTTCCTCTCGGAAAACTCCTATTCATTCCTCAAGACCCAAATCCAACGCCCCTCTTCCAAGAAGCCTTCCTTGCCCTTCACGTGCTGAGCCAGGATGCCCACTGTGCTGCCTGCATCTCTCCATCCTTTTGGAGAGAAGAAATCTCCATTTTCTTGAGAGTCTAGTCTGGAACCCAGTGCCCTGGAAGAGGAACCCTGAGCTGGAAAATCCGAGTTCCTTCCCCAAAACACTCTGTTACTTTGATTCCTTGTGCAGCCAGTCGGGAATTTGGAACACTCTGGCATTACCAGGTGAAAGAAAGAGCGTGTGTGCACATGTGCATGTGTGTATGTGACTGGGTGAGTGTGGATGTATGTGTGTGGGTGGGTGTGTGAGTGTATGTTGTGGGACTGTGGTGTGTGGGAGAGAGAGTGTGTGGTGTGTATGTGTATGATTGTGTGAGTGTGGGTGTATGTGAGTGTGTGTGAATGTGTGAGTGTGGTGTGGTGGGGCTGATGCTCTTCCAGGCCCCTCTCTCTTTTCTGTTCACCACTTCCCTCTCCCGGCAGCCTCAGCCCATGTGTGTGTGAACCATGCGTGTCCAGGGTCGTGCTTGGCTGCAGGGGTCAGAAATCCCAGCCTCCAGCCAGCTCCACCCCAGCTGGCTCGTGCCCTTGGGGCCTTCTGGGGCCTTCTGGGGCCTTCTGGGGCCTTCTGGGGCCTGGGCCAGCTGTTTGCCCTTGGAGGCTCCTGAAGGCTTTTCTCTGCCCCCTCCCCACCCTAGGTTTTCTACGCCAACTGCAGCTGCGTGGTAGGGGGAGGCCCTGTGCCCGCGGGCTCCTGCGACTCCGCCTGCAGCCACCTGGTGCTGCCCTTCATGTTCCTGGTCAGCCTGGGTGCGGCACTGGCCAGTCTCACCCACACACCCTCCTTCATGCTCATCCTAAGGTGAAAGTGGGGGCAGGCCACACCTGGTGGATACCAAGAAGTCCTTAACCCTAGGCAGGACAAGGAATCCTGAGGGAGGGGTTCCAAGAAGGAGGCCACTCGGGTGTGCTGGGCCCCCCGCAACAGGCCAGGCTCTCGCTGCCCCGTCTTCGTCCTCACGGCAACCTGCTAAAGTGAAGTTTCCTCCCCATTTACAGATAGGAAAACCGAGGCTCAGAGAGAGTCAGATGTCAGCCCCAGGTCTTGTCACAGCTGCTGGGCGGAATAGTACTGGTGCCAGCACCAGAGCCCAGGTCCTCACTTGCCTCAGGGGATGGGAGGCCACACCTAAGGCCCTGCCCTGGCCACCCAGTCACAGCAAGGAGAAAGTGGAGTGTCCCCCGACTCCCCGCCCCCACCCTACCTGTGATGAGTGGGCCACAGGAGGTACATCCAGAAAACCAAGCCCTGTAAGTTGTGGCTCATGAGCCTTCAAGTCAATAAGCACTTGTGTGTCCACTGTGGACCCAGCCCACGCAGAGCACTGCTTCTTGGTTCATGTTCTTTCTGGCCTTTGTCCTGAGGGTGCCTGCTGGGACCGACAAATTGTTACCTAAGGCCAAAGTCGGCATTCCTAGGGTGGGGGCTGGAATAAGGGGACCTCAGAGCAGGACAATTCTAAATTTTCATCATGTTGGGATTATTTTGGTTCCCCATCTGTTTCCTAGAAAATTAGAAGGGGGATGGAGACCCTCATAAACACGACAAGACATGTAGATCTGTAAAGCAGCCTGGCCAAAAGAGAGAAGGTAGAGGAATCAGATGCCCCGGCAAGGCAGCCCGTTTAAGAGGAGTTACGGCAGGCGGTGTGCTCACAGATTCTTTTTTTCTTTTAAATTTTTTTTTAACGTTTATTTATTTTTGAGACAGGGAGAGACAGAGCATGAACGGGGGAGGGTCAGAGAGAGAGGGAGACACAGAATCTGAAACAGGCTCCAGGCTCTGAGCTGTCAGCACAGAGCCTGACGCGACGCTCGAAATCACGGACCGTGAGATCATGACCTGAGCCGAAGTCGGACGCTTAACCGACTGAGCCACCCAGGCGCCCCTCACAGATTCTGACCCCCTGACGCCCACCAGCTGTGAGGTCTTGGCCAAGTCAACCTGTCTAAACATTCATCAGTTTTCTTATCTGTAAAATGGGCCTGATGGCATAAACGACCTCATGGGGGTGAGGCGGGGGTTGCAGTACAAAATGAGCTCATAGGGAGCACTCCCAAAACACCAGCTGCTGGTATTACTACAAAGGAGGAGCCAGTGATTTCCAGGGCAAACTAGGCTGGGGCTTCCCGGCACTTGGGGAAGTTGGAAGCCATGTCTGGCTGGCTTTGCCAAGTGTAGGAGGAGAGGGGAATCTGGTGGGCCCAGGGGTAGGGAGAGGGGAGGTGTCTGTGGCCAGGAACACAGGGAGGCCAGCACAGGACCCTGATGGCCAGTGGGGGTGCCTGGAACTGGGTGCTGGGCTCGACAGGTTGAAGGGAAATGGAATATGGAACCTGAGCCCACCCAACCCCAAACCCACAGACCTTCAGACTGGGGGAAGGCTG